TGCTACTGGGTCTCCCTATCGACGGTAAGGCGGTGAACGGGTCGGTTCAACAACCCAACTCACAGTGTGAAGAACTGTTGGGTAGGGATATGGTAGAAGGTGGTGGAGCAAGAGGGCATGGAATACTACTCACTGACCTGAAACGTCATTATGCAAGTATGTATTTAAATGAAAATTCCTCAGAGAATGACCGAGTAGTAAAAGCCAGAACGTATCTTATGATACTTTTTGGTACATTTTTATTTCCCGAAAGTACGGGAAATAGTGTAAATTTTATGTACTTACATTTACTAACAAATTTTGAAAAAACTAGAAAATATAGTTGGGGTTCTGCAGTATTAGCCCACCTATACAGTTCCTTGTGCAAAAACGCAGTCAAGGAAAAATGTACATTTTATGGGTGCGCATTTTTACTACAAGCCTGGGGTTGGTGGAGGATATAGTCCTTAAACCCCATCAACAACAACACTTTTGGTTTCCCGTACGCAACAAAGTAAGTCATTAAGTTATAACATTTATAACTATTCTGCTCCTTCCAAAATATATGCTAAAAATAACATGTTTCTCATTTCCTTTAGGTACTGCGTGACGGGTATGGATTACGGCAAGAATCCAAGATTCAATGTCGCACTCTACCGGAATCTGTTGGATCACTTAGGCCCAGATGACGTACGTCGTAGCTTTTAACTTTTGTTCATTTTAATTATTTATACATTACTTTTGCGCTAACCTGATTTAAATTTTATCGCAGTTCGTCTGGAGACCATATTTGGGTTTGGGCCATGCTCCAAACCCGGAGGATGCAGCAACTTGGACTGCAAAGACTGCACTCATTCAGTTCAACATTGTGGAGATGCACCACAGCGACCGTGTGAAGATGCAGTTCGGAATGCATCAAGAGATACCAAGTGATCCAACAGATTTGTCCCCATGGCATCTTAAAAGGGTCGACGCCCAGTGGGGTCTTACCAACTGGAAAGACTTTGCTTCAGAATGGTGTAAGATGTGGCAGATGCGTCACCGCTACGTCTTGCAATTCCCGGTTTTCCTTACTCAAGGTAACATGCGACACACGAATCAATATATGTCGTGGTACAGGTCGGTTAGTAACCCAGAAATGCACGTGTCTCATCCGAGGTACTTGGTTGACCCACGCACACAATGGACACAACCCTCGATTCCCCATCAACAAACCCAAAAACCATCAACCTCCAACCAACCCCCAAGAAGAAACAAACCCACAAACACCCAACCACATTCCCCACCACAACACAACTACAATCAAATGCCGTACTACCAACCACAATCACCACCAAACTACCAATACCCCGATATGCCTCAAACCCAACCACAATACCAACCCCAATACCAGCACACCCACATACCCCAGACACAATTTCAGTCTTCCACATATCCCAATATGGCGCCCTCAACATCCAGTCTTAGCCCTGATATGGGAATGTCAGAAGATTATGACCAAGCCGACCAAACCTACCATCACCCACCATATCACCAAACCACCCAACATCCACAATACCAAACATCCCAAGATCCATTTCCTTTCTACCCCCCATACTCAGACGACCAATGCTACCGACCAACCATGGAACCCCACCCACCGCCAACACGACCAAACTTTGAGGATATGGGTAACCGACTGTACCAGAGCGGATCTTCGAGATATAGAGATCTTACTGATTTTATAGATTCGGACCGCATTGACTTCGCTGGGCCATCGACCTTGCCGCAGCAGGAAACGCGACGGCACCCAGCAAGAGAAAGGCGAGGACGGGAATGCGGAACCGGGGGTCATTACCGAGTTCCGGGGGATCACTGATGTATATTTTTTTTCCCAGTATTTTTGTATCCATTTTTTTTACTGTTCTTTTAATGTAATACAGTTGAATGTAATTATTTTTTTTTAATAAAAAGTCCATTTTGTCGATCTCTGTCCAATAGGCAACGCACAGGAAAAAAAATAAAAAAAAAATTTTTTTGCCCTAAAATTACACTTAGGCGCCATCTCACTTGGCTTAGGGCATGCCCTAAGCACATAGGCGCCAAGTGAGATGGCACCTCCCTTAAAAAAGGAGGTGCATGCGCTAAGTGAGATGACTCCTCCTTTGTGGAGCCATCTGAAACATGGTTATTTGCGTAATTTTTTCTGAAACCCGATTATTTGCGAAATATAATTTTAATACATGGTTATTAATAAAAAAAATTATTTATTTGCACTGAAATTTCAATCCTTTATTTTTCTCTATTAAATATTATAATAATATTTTAAAATCATTTTAGGGTAAGATAGTTTAATTTTATTCCATCAAGTGAATCTTGTACGGGAGACAATCCTCCCCCAAAATTATGTATATTTTATCCTACTTCATTAAATTTGTATCGCAATTACTATATATTTTTAGAAAATTTATTATAATGTATAAATATATATTAAATATTTATCACATAAATAATTTAAATTAAAATAATAAAAAATCTGTTTATTTTTAGGACGCTAGTAAAGAGAACGAGTGATATTCTAAAAAAAAAAAAAAAGAGAGAGAACGAGTGTGGAATATTTTAGATCTACCAATTAAAGACGTGAGATTAAACCAAAACTTGATAGAAAAGAAAGTACGAATAGTTGATTTGAAGTGGAAGATTCTCATCACTGCCATAATAGATCTATCACGCAATGTCCCTTCTCTCAATCTTCAAAAAAATAGAATATGTTAAATTGGACCATTTCATGTCTCTTTCGTGTACAAGACTTACAATTCCACATTAGTTATTACACCTTCTCCTTCCTATTTCTATCTAGAATATCACTAAAATCAGTACTAGTATATTGTTTATGCCTTTTAACATTTATTACAATACCTATATTAAATTACATATCTAAACATATACTCTTTTCTATTTTTTTACTGTTTTATTTTTTGGTAAAAAATAAATATTTTTAATATAAGATTTATTATTAATATAATTCGGTCCTCTTTAAATAGATATTTAATTTTTTTGTTAAAAAAATATTTTTGTAAATATGATAAATATTATGAAAAATTATGTCCCATAATGAATGATCTATTTGAAATAAGATAAATAATATCTTAAAATAAATGATTTATTTTAATTTTTAATATTTTTTTTAATTCTATCATATAATTAATTAAACTTTTATTATTTCCATTCTGATACATGAATAAGAGTATTATAATAAAAATATTATTTTCTCTTACTTTTTTACAATTTTCTTAATACAGTATGTGAAATAGTGGATTGAATCATTTATTATAAAACAGAGATAATAATTATTAACAGTATAAAATAATTTTACATTTTTATTCAATAAAAATTTATTATTTAATCACAATTAAAAATAATATTATAATTTGTCATTTGACATAATTATAATTGATTGGCGGTTTAACTTTCAATATATATCCCTTTATTCTTTATTAAAAAGGTGATTTATATTAAAATGTTTTCATTTGTTAATGATTTTCCAAAAAAAAAAAAAACTCATGTGAAGAATTAAGATTTTAAATGCTTTTCCGTGGCTTCTTTTAAAAAATAATAATTTTGATTTGAATTTTTTATATTAAAATTATTATCAATAATTTTTTTTTTAAATCTCCAAATTATTAAAAATCAAATTCATATTTTATTTTTATAATCTCTACTAAACTAATCATAATTTCTATGCCGGTGATTTTTTTGTAAACATATTCAATATTCAATTAAATAGATGTCATTTAGAGGAAATTAATTTTAGTTTTAAAAATCAGGATTTTCTGTATTTTTAAAAGACTTTTTTAAACATATTAATTAAAATATTAATTTTAACATCAATTAACATAAATATAATTTATTGATAATTAAAATATAATCGAAAAATCATAAATTCTTAAAAAGCTATATTTTAAAGAAAAAAGTTTAGGTATATTTCTTTAGGTGTAATTTATACTTTCAATGAAAATATGACAAGTATATAATTTTCTCCTGCACATATATAATTTCTTCTTATTTTTACTTCTTAAAAGATATTTAAATATATTTATAATAATTTTATTGGAAAAAAATTTAAACTGCACCTATAAAATAATATCTAAGTCTTCTCCTATTTTAAAAATAAATTTTATGAAAAATTATTTATTTATTTTTTAAATTTAAGTAATTTTTTTAAAATTTTGATATTAAAAAACTTATAAGAAAATGATAAAATAACTTAAGTAACATTTTAAGCAAAAATATTTAAACCAATTTTTAATTTGAATTTTTTTATATATAATTTTTTTCAATAAAAATATATTACACTATAAAATCATTTAAAAAACTGAAACAAAAATATTCTTATTTAAAATAGCTGTTATAATTTAATTAAGATAAATGTTTGATGTAACTAAATAGAATGTGAAAATATTTTACAATGTCCATATATACATGCAAAATAAATCCTTATTTTATTTAAGTTTCACTTGCAACTAGACAAGCAGCAGATAAACAAAGATGATTATTATTTTCAAGCAGTCCCAAATGATTTACTAGTAGCCCTAATTGAGTAATCAATTGTTTTACCAAGTCATAAAATACAGTTACATTGAAATCTGAAATAACTCAACATATTTATTTAATGCAATAATTTTTAGTGGCCGAAATTAATGCATATAATATACGAAATCTTGAAACAATTGTGTTTGATTTATTTTCCTATGGCAATTGACAATTATTTATTTATTTATGGTTTTGGAAATGGGAAGACCAGTGTTGTGGCATACAATTGACCGTGTGTGGTTCACATTGTTTCATTTGATTTTTCTACCCTACCATACCATACCAAGTCTTCATGCTATGAAAAATTTATCTATATAAACAAACTTCATATCTCCTTCCATAATCATAAACATCCACTTAAACCCTAAAATAGATAGTTTAAATACATCATAATACAACAATATTATTTTCTTTTGAATTTCAATCTTAATCTTCAGATACTCATAGACATGACAATTGGGTTCATGGAAGTACATGTTCTCAAAGCAAAAGGCCTCAACACCACTTGTTTCTTTGGTACTATATACAGATTTCTTTACTATTTTTTAAATTAATATATATAACAAGTCTTTGTTTATTATTTTAGGTGGAATGGAAGATCCTTATGTTTTGATACAATATGAAGGCCAAGAGCATAAGAGCACTGTTGCTAAAGGTAGAGGAAGAAATCATGTATGGGATGAGAAATTTATGTTCAAAGTAGATAATTTTGGATCAAAAGATAAACACAAAATCATTCTCAAGATAATGGACAAAGACACATTTTCTGCTGATGACTTCATGGGACAAACCATGTAATGGTTACTACTTCATTATCATCTATGATTCTAACCATGTTTCATTTTGTTAATTTGTTCATGTGTTGATTAAACTATATTGGTTATTCTTTGAATAGAATTTATGTGAAGGATTTGTTGACTCAAGGTGTAGAAAATGGAGTTTCTAAGCTACCACCTCTCAAGTATAGAGTTGTTCGTGCAGACCAATCTTATCGTGGAGAAGTTGATGTCGCCATTACTTTTACTCCAAAGGTAACATACATGACTAGTTAAATTTTTAGAGACTCTACCTTGATCATTAAAAATAAGAAGACATAGGAGGATGGAAAGAGAGTATGGCTAGCGTATGAAAATAAAATGTAACTTGAAAGTAGTTTTGAATTTTCATTATGTAACATCATTATTCTTTTATTTTTTTAGCTAGTAATAAAAGGAAAAAATGTACACTTAAGTGATAGTCAGAATTGTGGTTAGAGGTGATTGTTAGTAAGGCTTATGGTAGCTAATAGTTGTTACATGGAATCTCTATAATGCTTGTAAATTCATTTTCAATATTTCATTTAATGATAATTATTTTTCATTTCTCTCATTTTAACTTCTTTTTTTCATAATATTAAACAAATTATTTTGTTTGTGAATATTGTATCTTATTCTTAAAGTTGTTATATACGTGTCTCACTGTTTACCTTGGTATTTGGTAAACAACCGCTGATTCTCTAAATGGTTACTTATTTGGTTACTCGCAGGATCGATCAGATTGATCCTAGGACATAGGTTGATTTTGAAGTTTTGATTAAATTGGATAAGGCTTTAAATGACAATAAAATAAGAGGCTTTAAGTAAATAGCATGAAGAAAGGACTTGGTAAAATAAATAAGGCTTTAAATGAAAGGCTTCGACAAGAAAGTAAAGAGGAAAGCAAGTAAATTTCTGGAAAAGTAAATGACTTTGATTAATAAAGTTGGTGTTTCACACATACATTTCTCAACAATTCTTTCTCACACGCTGAGTACTCGAATCTATATGAGTGACTTTGTATAGAATTGTGAACACACACGAGAACTTACATGACTACTACTATTTATACTAAAACATCCCAAGTAACCGTCGGGCAGCTACACTGCTTCGTGATGAGTCCACTTGGCACGTTCTCAACGTTCGACGCTCCAGATCTTTGCACGTTGCACTTGGTAACCGCTGGAAACCGTTTTCCCTCCAAACGCTTGAATTTCAAATTGTTCCACTCTGAACCGTCGAACACTTTCGTCGAGAAGCATCTTCGACGAGAAACACCTTCGACGTCGAAGGCAACCAACTTCTCCCTTAGAAGAAATCTTTTAAGTACCTTGCCATCTTTCGACGGGCATTTCGACAGACCTAGCTAGTCGAAAACATCCTTCAGCTTTAATGGCTGACATTAATAAAACAAGGGTGTCGAATTTAGGAGCCAACAAATTGCCCCCCAAGAATGCCTTATTTCGACTCTGAAAGAAAAAGGCATTCTTTGAAACGCCATTCGACACCTGCCTTTTCACGCTTAGTCACAAATTAATTTGTGCACTTTTTGTTGTCTTCTACCAACCACTGGCAATCCCAAAAAAACCATCATTTTTCCGTACCTAAGACGTCACTTCAGTACAGCGTGCAGTACCAAACGTCATTTCAGAATTTGTCATTATGACAAATTCCCAAAAACGAGGACGCACGCTGCGTCTCTCTATTTCTGCAGAACGGCTAAAACAACAGGGGGATGCCACGCGTCCCACTATCTCCTGCAATAATTAAATGGCATTTAATGTCCTCGGTTTTGGGGATTTTCCCCCACTACTATAAATAGCAGTAAGTACCCCATTGTGGGACTTTTTACGCCACCTAGCTTTCAAACTTCTCTATTTTCACACAAACTTGTCATCTTTGCAAAACCCTTTCTTCCTTCACTTCGTCTTCAACCTCACCATTAACAATGGCATCTGGTTCCAATGCTCCTAGCGCTACTGCACCATCGGGAAACGCCAAACCTAAGGTTTTCGTCACTGCTCTAGTAGTAACTGCTACGGGCCAACGAAGGGTCCCTGAGCCCTTGGACATCGCCGTCCGTGATGCTTACTCACGCCACCTTATGATCCCGGTTGGATACTCCAACCAGATCTTTGCTATGTCTGGCCCCTTGTATCCAAGTATTGCTGAGGCCATGAAGATCAAGAGTTATTTTCCGGTAGTTGAGAAACTCAAACCGGTTGCATGCGCCAAGAAGGACGCAGAGGACAATGAAGACCCTGCGCATGAAAAAATCGACCTTCGTTTCTTTAACAAAGGTGTTAGGGCCTTCAGGTCTGGCCCTAGCCTTACTCCTGATTACGTTGCTTGGCTGGAAAAGATGGAGAAACACCAAGCTTCAATCTGGAAAGATATGGGGATTTTCGACCTGGTGATGCTGTCGAAGACAGGTTTGAACTATTCCCCTGAGATGTTGATAGCTTCTCTACTTTTCTGGGACTACTCCCACTTTACTTTCCATCTTCCCTGTGGGATGCTGACTCCTACATTATTCGATGTGGCCGCTATCACTGGCCTTCGACCCACCGGAGACTACTTCGATCCGGAAGAGATGTCGGAGGACCAAATTGGATTCTCTGATACCAAACCAACCTACACCATTTTCATCAACCACTATCACGACAGGTCGACAGATGCTGTGTCGGATGTCGAACACATAGCATTTCTAGCCTTATGGCTGACTCGCTTTGTATTTTGCTCGAAGTCCCTACAGGTGACCAAGAAGATGGTCACTCTCGCTACTCAACTCCATCATGGCCAGAATATCTGTTTGGCAGAATTGATTCTGGCTAGCCTCTATGATTCGATTAGCAATGGGGCCACTCTTCTAAAAATTATCGAGAACAGGGCCAGTTTGCTACTTGCTGGGCTTTTTTGGCTGCTCCAACTGTGGCTCAATGCCACCTTCGAATATTTCTTGCCTAAGAAGGTTCAAATAAATGAGCAGGCTCCAGAGATAGCGAACAGACGCGTCGAAGGAACCAGACTGGCTCTGTTGACACCTATGGAAGATGGACTGGAGTTTCAGCAAACTTTCACCAACTTCGTTCTGATGTTTGCTCGAAGGAAAGAGTTTGCTTCGACTATGGCTCCGTTTGCTCGACAGAAGGTAGGCCCATCATGGTTCACAAGGCCACATCCAAGGACTTCGAGTGGTCCTAATGTTGACGAACATACAATACTGTGGGAGGCGTTCCTCACACCAAGGATCATGCCTCTTCGATTCAGGAGCTCTAAGACTCACTTGAGTCTGATTGCATACCAACCAAACCTGGTATCTCGCCAGTTTGGTATTATCCAAACCCTACCTTCTCCAATCTTTCCAAGAGAGAAGTCTATGTTGTACTTCTGCAATGATTACACCGAAGAAGCTGCCATTAAGTATATCGGAAGATATGCTGGTCGAACAGTTCTCTCGTTGTTTGACTACCAGCTCAACTTTCTTTGCTCACCATCCTTCGAGGAGTGGTGGAAAAGTTATTACGCTGAGGAGTTTTTTGATGAGAAGGACTTCGTGGATGAGCTTCAGAAATCCTTTGTCCTTGTGTTGGACAAAATAAAGAAATGTAAGTTCATCCTTTCACATTACTTTGTCTTTCTCTTTCGACTGCTAGCTTGTTAACTATTTTATTTGCTTTCAGTTGTTCGAAAGCCCGCAGCCAAGAAGGCTGCAGAAGGCCAACAGGGAGGAGGCCCCTCAACAAAACCTCCACCGCCGGTGAAGACTACAGCGCCGGCGAAGACCACGAAGACCACAACCAACCAACAGGGGGAAGGCCCTTCGAAGAAGCCTTCTGTATCGGTAACCAGACTTTCAATATTTTCTTCTGGCTTTCGATTTTTGACTTTCGATGCAATTGCTAAGTCGAATTCCCATTGGTTTTTTAGGCACCTTCGCCCAAGAAACGGCCAGCACTGGTGGTCGAATCTGGGAGCGACGAAGAAGATGACTCTCCCCCTGCTCCTCTAAAAAGGCGAAAGCTGACGAAGGACGCTCCTGCTCCTGCTCCTGAGGGTCGAACACTTAGAATCAAGGTTGCTGGGAGAAAGCCCAGGCCACCTCTAGTGATCATTGAGGAGCCAACGGAGGAGGAACTAAACGTTCTTCTCAACAAGCCTGTCGAAAGCGACAATTCCAGCCCTGGGGCTGAAGCTAACTTACAGGTAATCTCTTAGACCTTTTTGTAACTTAGGTGTAGATACCTGCATTCGATTATGTCTCTTTCGATTTCTGAAGATTCCTCTTCTTTTCTTTTCAGGACACCACTGAAAGCTCGCCGCCAAGGACCTCTGAAACACTGGAGTCTGCTGAACTCAGCAGGCCACAAGAAAAGGGCTTGGAAAATGACGAAGCCCATACTGAAATAAATGAGGCCAATGCTGAGACGGTAGAAAAACCAGCAGAAGAACCTCAAACAGAGGAACAACAACCAGAAGAGGTTCCGGTGGTGGATCTGTCGGAAGAGAATCGTGACGAGGGGGACCATGGCAATGCTGGCGAAGAAAACCAAGGTGACATTGGCGAAGGGCACCAAGGTGACGCTGGTACTGCCCCAGTCCGAGTCGAAGGGAATAAGGTCGAGGCACCCAACACTCAACAGCCTCAAACCCAAGACAATGCTGTTGCAAGGGCTGTTACCTCAACGAAGCACAGGTCGAAAGAGGACTTAGAACTCTTGAAACAAACTGATCCTGTTAGCTATCTCAACGCAATCATCGAGAGCAAGAGTTCGTCTGATGCTAGTCAGGAGGTTCCTACCCTGTCGGGGAAATCCACTGAAACCTCTCCTCTCGATGAAGCTTTGGCGAAGGTTAAGGCTCAGTTTTTCAAGAAGGACTTGATGAAGGCTTTAGAGGGGGACCCCACTGCTCCATCATACTTGAAGGATGTTCTGAATGCTGTCGACTTGTTAGCTGTAGCTCCAGAAGTTTCAGGCTTGATCATGGAGTTACACTCCATGATTGATCAAGTCTCAGCAGATTATAGGCGCCAAAGGGGCTTTAATAGTCAGCTTGAGGTGTTATATGGCAAAAGCTCCTCTGCGTGGACTGCTGTTTCGGATACGACTTCTCGAATTGCGGAGTTGTCGAAGCAAAAAGCATCTACGCAGGAAGAAGTCGATGCCATAGATCGAGAGAATGCTTCCTTCAGGGCACAAATCGAAGAAATAGAGGCTAAGATAAATGCCAACACTAAACGCAAGGAGGAACTTCTT